AATGGATCAAGATCAAAAAGTTTCAGCAGAAGTTCCTGCCTTTTCCCTTTTGTATTTTTTTTAAATCTCTGAACAACTAAATACAAAAGATAACAGATGACAGAGCCTGAAATTTAACAGTAGGAGAGAAGGGATTTCAAACGTGATTTTCTTCAATTAACTCCCCAAAATTGCATTCATTCCCATTTTTTAACATAATCATTTGTGGTTCATAATCCATTGAATTTATGCATATATGGGTCAGTGGTGGGTTTCAAATTTTTTTACTACCGGTTCTGTGGGTGTGGCTTGGTGGGCGTGGCATGGCTTGGTGGGTGTGGCTTGGTGGGCATGGCAGGGGAAGGATACTGTAAAATCTCCATTCCCTCCCCACTCCAGGGGAAGGTTACTGCAAAATCCCCATATCCTCCTGACCAGCTGGGACTTGGGAGGCAGAGAATAGATGGGGGTGGGGCTAGTCAGAATTTTTACTACCGGTTCTCCGAACTACTCAAAATTTCCGCTACCAGTTCTCCAGAACTGGTCAGAACCTGCTGAAACCCACCTCTGATATGGGTACAGTAGAACACCTGATCACAAACACTTCTGACCACAACCAAATCGGGTTCCAACCAAAAAATTCACAATTTTTTTCCCCCACAGCAGATTTCCCTTTTAGTGCCATTTTTTTTGTAAGTGCTAAATTTCCAAAATTAGGTTCAGGTCACGATCAAATCAGGTTGTGACCAAAGTTTTGGAACAAATTATGGTTTTGACCAGAGGTTCTACTGTACTTTGAATATCCAGGCCACCTGAAACTCGTTAATCACCCTGCAGGGCAAGGAAGACAAGTAAAAGTAAAAGATAAAAAAGTCTTCTCCTTTTAATGAAAGAAGTCAAATATATGAGCATAGTAAAGACATTATTTATGTTTAAAGGTGCTAGTATTAAAAAGAAGAGCAGACTTGGAGCCCTCCTTTGAAATGTAGGATTTAGAAGTGCCAGGGTAGCCTCTACTTGCTTATCAGATGATAAATTCCAAGAGTCGTATAATAATTTACATTATCTTTATAATTCTTTTCTATCACCTTCAGAAATTACATAAATTGTAACTCTATGTATTTTAAGCTCTTTTGCATTCTTCTGGTGAGGGGCCCAGTGATCACTGCAGTTGTATATGCTAATAAAAAATGTTGCATCTCTGTCCAATTGCTTTGGTTTTTTGTCTAGATGGGCATTTTCCCACAATATATTAAAAGTAAGGGAGATCATTTTCCTTTGGTTAATCAGTTAATATATAGGAAGTGGACCCTGTCCTAGCACGGGAGTAATGCTAGGAAGAATCGGTTAATATAGAGATAGTGTTCATTTAGTGACAATTGAGACCAGCAACTTGGTTGTTAAAGTAGTTGCTAAGTGAAATTGCCACAGTGCTTAAGATTTTAGTTCAGCTTTCCTTTGCCTCTGATGATTAGTCATAAAGTCAATATTTTTATCACCATTGTAATTGAATGGTCAGTAAATAAACGGTTATTAAACAAAGACCAACTGTATATTACTGCCACAATCATGGGATGGATAGATGGCATATAGATGAATGAAATAGGATTGCTGTGTGAAAAAGAAGATGACAAAGGACATACTTGTGAAGTATTTATTTTATTTTATTTTATTTTCATTTTATTAAATTTTTATACCGCCCTTCTCCCGGAGGACTCAGGGCGGTGTACAGCCAGAGATAAAACCCACAACAATATAAAAGTTAAAAGATGAATTAAAAACATTAAATAATTTGGCCGAAAAAGCTAAAATAAAGACAACCCATTAAAATAGTATTAGGCTATTTTAGTATGTAGAAGTAAGTTACATGAGGCTTTATATTAGATAATCTTTCAATTCCAAACTATTTTTTATTGATTGCTTTTGTCCTCTAATTTGATAGATCTCATTAGGAAATCAGCAGATGATCCAAATGCCATTCTCAGAAATAGCTCTACAAATGAAGTTCTAATAACGTTTTTTTCTGTAGTATCTATGCACTGTATTACTTGAAACTTCTTAAAATTTTATTTTAAATGAAACACTAAACAATTCGATGCCACTTGATGGCAGTAAAGTCCTGGTCCATTTTTGTACAAACTAAGCATCATGTGGTAACCTCCTAAAAGATCTGCTTTGTAACAAAGAATATTCATAATGGAAGCTTAATAACAAGTAAATCAATATTTCATTATATTTAAACGTTTACATATTAATACAGTCACTTTAACCAAGAAAGCAAAATTTTTGGCAAGACCTGTTTTTAACAAATACATGCTGGCCTCTAGTAATCACTTTGTTCCTTTCTAGGTGCACACAAATCCAACGCTTGATTATCTTTTTCAGGATTTTTGCAGTTATTGATGTTGATTGGTCTGTAGTTTCCTGGATCCTCTTTTTTCTCCTTTTTTGAAGGTGGAACCACATCAGTTTTTTTCCAGTCCTCTAGCAGTGTAAACCATGATCCCAAAATCCAAAATCTCAATGGCACCATCGGTTGAGCAAGCAGTTTGCCTGTAAAATCATCCATTCCCTCATTGGTGTTGACCTCCTATTGAAACTCTTTTGCCTTCCTGCCTAACCACTCATAATCCTTTGATATTTTTTCAGGGTCTTTTTTGTTGTATTGTTTGTCCCAACATGAAAGAGGAGAAAAGGATAGTAATCAGTTGGCTTGATTGATTGGGTAAGCCATCTCTGATCTTTTGCACCTGAGAGACAACATACCTCACTAGGTTGCTCAGTCTACAAATTGCTGATAGTGTTCATTTGAGAAGAGAGTCGTCAGTTACCACCATGCCTTTTTCTCTTTGGGGAACCTGGAGGACTCCTCTTCTCTGTGACAGTTGATGAAAAAGGGGTCTGCATGTTTTATTCCAGGGGGAAGATATAAAATCAATTTTCAGCTCCAGTGACAGACAGTTCTTCATAGGCTTTTTGTCCTGTTCTATCATCCCTCCCTCCCTCCTTCCCTCCCTCCGTCCGTCTATCTATCTATCTATCTATCTATCTATCTATCTATCTATCTATCTATCTATCTATCTATCGATATCTATCTATCTATCTATCTATCTATCTATCTATCTATCTATCTATCTATCTGTCTATCTACATATATCTATATATCTATATATCTATATCTATATTGTTGTTGTTAGTTGCGAAATCATGTCCAACCCATCACGATCCCATGGACAACGTTCCTTCAGGCCTCCCTGTCCTCTACCATCCTCTGGAGTCCATTTAAGCTCACGCCAACTGCTTCAGTGACTCCATCCAGCCACCTTATTCTCTGTCGTCCCATTCTTCTTTTTCCCTCAATCTTTCCCAGCATATCTATATCTATATATCTATATCTATATCTGTCTATCTATTACTTATCTACATCTATCATCTATCTATATCTACAACTATTTATCTTTCATCTCTCTCTATTTATCTATCTATATCTATATCTATATCTATATCTATATCTTTCTATACATAGATAGAATTTTTTATTGGCCAAGTATGATTGGACACAAAAGGGATTTGTCTTGGTGCATATGCTCTCAGTGTACATAAAAGAAAAGATACATTCGTCAAGAATCATAAGGTACAACACTTAGTGATAGTCATAGGGTACAAATAAGCAATCAAATAATATTAGGAAACAATCAATATAAATCGTAAGGATACAAGCAACAAAGTTACAGTCATACATACATACATACATACATACATACATGTCTGTCTGTCTATTATCTATCTAATCCTTTTTTTGGCTGTTATTTTAATATTTTTCCCATCTCTGCAGAATTTCCTACCTTTCTGCATTCAGGAAGCTCATATGTACTGGAGGCAATAGGGCTCTACTACTGTTGCTCCATAGTTACTACTATTTGAAGTATTGATAATCTAGTACAAAGTTGGATTGCCTCAAAGTTGATTAGATTTATGCACTTTGTCCTCTAAAATCCCAGGTTTAGCCAACAAGACTCAACTGGTACAAGAGCCAATAAACACACCCAGAATTACAAAGCAGGATATCTTTCAATTCAGGAATTACTTTACCATTTTTCATCATCTTTTTACACAAAAATAAATTTGCAGCTACCTCAGAGTTTTAGTTGTTAGTAATTTTCACTTTTTAAAAATTAAATTGTATTTTATGTTCTATATTTTAACTATTGTTAACTGCCTTTAATATCAACTGAATACAAAAGTGGGGTATCAAGCAAATAAATGATTTTTCTTTATAAAGCATCCTACTTTAGCTGGAAAAAGAAAAGACATGTTGTTATTTTGTTCAGAAAAATGTGGGCAAAGATCTTGCCTGTGATGGACAACAACAAGATACCACTGTAGTATCTAATTTGCTTCCCTTGTTTTGGCTGCCAGAGGCACCATGGGCCGGTCCTTTGCTACTTCGAAGCCAGCCCCACGGGCCAGATTTAAGCACCCTGTGGGCCAGATGCAGCCCATGGGTCTTGAGTTTCACACCCTGACCTAGATGATTGTCTAACTTTTATTCCCGTGCATACAAACAGATCTCTTGCACCTAGATCATGGTTTCTCAACTAGGGTTCTGTGGAATCCTAGGATTCCATAAGAGATTACCAGGGGTTTCCTGGGAGTTCCTTATTTAAGCAAATGTAAGCCTTCAAACATCCAACTCTTAGTTGGCTCACCGTAGTGGGCAGAGAGCCGGGATTGTGTACATGCATGCCAGTGAGAAGGTGAGCAAAATCCACACTAAGTAGTGAGCAAGAAGAGACGAGAAGAACAGCAGGTGGTGGGAGAGTGTACTCAAGAAGAGAGCGACCATTGGGCCTCTGTGCTGGGGCACTCCTTGTCAGCATGCTAGCTTGCCAGTCTGCTTTTCTGCTGGGGCAGCAACTTGCTGAGCAAGCAACTGCAGGAGATCTAGGGCTGGGTTGGCCCAGATACCAGTGGCAGCAGGATCCACCCATGGGGAGCAGAGAAGAAGGCAGGGGAAAGGAAAAGTTTTAATTCTTTATTTTTAGTAATGCATGACATGTGCATGACTACACATAAAATGAATATAATAATTTTGTAACTTCTGGCCTATATTTGAACCTAAATATTCAGGAGTTTTCTAAAGTCAGAATAATATTTTAGGGGTTCCACCAGACTCAGAAGGCTGATTTAGAGTCTTACACAGTTTGAAATGTCAGTCTTGGCCAGCCAGCCCAAAGATTGGAAATATAAATGATTTGTTACACATATGTTGATACCAGAATGATAAAGTTTTCACTGGTCACGTGGTGTTTATTTATGGGATTTGTGATCATTAAGGCATAACAGATGGGTTGCAATGCAAAATAATATTTTTGTTAAGTTGAATATTCACCAAAGAAAGAACAGGCTGAACTCCTCGATATGAAACATGTCTTAATAATGTCAATCCCATTGAATTAAAAAATGTTACTGCATTTTAAACATTATTACTTAGAAATAAGTAACCCTTAAGCATGCTTGGATAGCTTCAAAATAGAGCTTTACAGATGCTATAATCAAAGCACATAATTTTTGCAACATTGATCTTCTTTTGTCTCATATTTTTCTTTAAATTTTGCCATATAAGAGTAAGGAATGGAAGGAAATGTATTTTAAAAAATGTTTCCAACTCTTTAAATAATCCTGGGTTGTATTTGAGCAACAAGAAATATACAGAAAAAGGAAAGGACAATGTTTGCGGAAGCTATTATAAACATGGAAAACTATATTAGCATTTCTTCTACCGTGTTTCCCTGAAAATAAGACTCTGTCTTATATTTTTTTGGATCTCGAAATAAGCACTTGGCCTTATTTTCGGGAAGGTCTTATTATTTTGGGGCACATGGAACAAGACGGGGCTCTTCTTGCCGTCTTACCTGATTTCCAGCTCTGTCTCCCTAACCCAAACCAGAGGAAATGGTGGGGACCAGCTGCGCATGCTGTTTAATATTTTCGGGGAGAGCTAATTTTCGGGGAGAGCTTATTTTCAGGGAGGGCTTATTTTAGCATATGTGTTCAAAATCCTGACTGGGCTTATTATCTGGGGAGGTCTTATTTTAGGGGAAACAGGGTAACTGAAATGAATTATAAATAAAACACTGGAATTTTTATTTATAATAAAAATCAACTTAGCAAGCTAACTCACTAACATTGTTTTCACTAAATTTCCTCTTCCCTATCCAGGTAAATGTTATTTAATTTGAATTGACTGAATATTAAATGCTTTTGGTTCTGTTTTCTCAAAATGGTCCATGTTGGGAGTTGCAATTCAAAGCATTCTGGAGGGTATCAGATTAGGAAAAGGTCATTGAAAGATCATGAGAAACCACATAATTATTTTAAGAAGGTGAGCAATTGCACTTTTATATCACATTTGATATAATAGCAAGACTGGTGCAAACTAACTGATCCTTACTTCAATACTTTCCCAATCTGCATGGCATGTCTCTTTCTAGGCTTCATGAATTAAGGAAGACCATGGAAGATCCTTCACCCAAGAATCTTCTCCATTTTTGCAATACAGTTGTAAAAGAGTTATGTTTCTGAGTACTCCAATCCCTGGAAGAGATGATGCAGCAACTTTCCTTGAATAATACCACACACTCAAAACAAAACAAAAGTTTGGCCAAATTATCAAAGTTGTTGGGAGAGTTGAACATTCAATGCAATCAAGGAGGTGCCACAATGCAGCATTTTAAGGATGGGAATCATAAAGAGTTACAAAAAAAATTATTTTGTTGGTTGCAGATAAATACTTCAGTCTATTCATCTTCTTGTATAACACATGAACAGTGTTTATAATATAATATAATGAGACATGGATCTGAAATAATATGGGAAGGAATAGTGTTGAGGCCTCCAGCAGAAAAACAAATCCCTATTCAATAGAATTTACCAGAGCAGCATGACTGTTTGTAAGAAAAATATCTTGGATCTCATACATTTATATAAAGTTACTCGTCATTATTTCAGATTCCTGTATGGTAAGCAATCCAATCTCGATAGTAAGTAACTCGTGTATAGACTCCAGGTTTATTTGGCTTAGCACATTCATCTCCCCAGCTTACTATGCCAACAAGGTACCATATTCCTCTTGAATCAGATGTAACCAATGGTCCACCAGAATCACCCTAAAAGGGATGGAACATCACTTTAGAAAGACCAAGGAGAAAAATCTATAGTGTATATAATCATATGATAGATAGAACTGTTTTATCAAACATGATACCATCTAAAATGATTTCCCTTGACATAAAATCTTCTTAGAGGAAGCTATAATCGGGTCATCTGAAGACCACATTTCTCTCCTGCCTCCCAAGCCTTCATGGCTGGACATATTTATCAACTTTAAGGGCTTTAAAATACAATTAATATAGAAATGGAATAGAATAAACAAAGCAATAAAAATAAAGATCACATATTTCCCATCCTTAGCCATAGTTTTCCCATTCCTTTCCCCAGATGCGCACCATAACCCTGGAACTGCAAAAAAAAAAAAAAAAATGGCCGTCCACATTTTGTATCTCCTAGTTCACCTCTTTTTAAAAAGATTTTTAAAATTCTGCATTTATTTTTTATGAATAACTCAAGGTAGCTAACATACATAATACTTCTTCATTCTATTTTCTCCAATGAAGTAGATTGGGCTAAGAAAAGATGACTGACCCAGTCTAGACTAGGACTAGAACTCATAGATTTCTATTTTCTTAGTCAGCATCTTAAATACTACACCAAATTGTTCTTTTTTTCCATCTAAATCTCTGTTACTTAGTTATAGAAAAAGATGGTGGTGTATAAATAAGTGGATTTTGCTCCAGCACAAAAATACTATTAAATCATAATATATGCAGGAGCTTTTGCTGACTTCTAAGTTACTATTACACCTACCTGACAAGCATCGCTTCCTCCTTCTAGGTATCCAGCACAGAGCATTCCAGATGAAATGGCTCCATTATATACTTCTCTTTTGTTGCAAATTTCATTACTTATAATTTTCACTTCTGTTTGACGAAGTTCACCAACACTGGGACCTGATTTGCAAATAATAATGGAGTATTTTATCCATGAAAATTCATTATCAGGTTATAGAGTAGCACAACCAAACAAAACACATATGCTTAGTCTGTGATTTTGGCCATGGTATCAGAAATCCTTTAAATTCCATCCCTTTAAAAGATATCTTCCTGTGATAATTTAGCCTTCTACAATACATTATTGTCAAAAAGTTCCAACTCTGTTATTCTGTGTTCTAACTAACACTGTCAGGTGGCTCCATCAGGTTCAGAACCTCAGAATGAAACATTAATTTCCACAGTTGAACATTTATGTGTTTATTTATCCTGCCTATTTTTTACAAACAAGTCAAGATGGCAAACATGCTGTGGGAAGTATACCCCAAAAGGACAGTGCCAGAAACCTCACAGCACCAGAAAACTCCTGCTCCCTGACAAGATTAACCCCCAGGATAAGAAAGACAAAGCCCCAGGAACAGGATTAACCTATTGAAGCAGGAAGACAGGATACAGGGCAATCACTTTAACTAGAGGCACACAAAGCTGCAGGAACTTCTAAGGGGAATTAACCATAAAAGACTCAGATTCATATCCCCAAGCTGCTTGCAAGCCAGGAATGTTTGAGCTATGTCACTATTTTATTTTATTTTTTGCCTTCCTGAATTAAAGGATCCCTTTTCTGGCAGCTGCTTTTTTTTTTTTTAATTTTTTAATTTGATTTATATGCCGCCCTTCTCCAGAGACACAGGGCGGCCTACAAATCTATCTATCTATCTATCTATCTATCTATCTATCTATCTATCTATCATCTATCGATATCTATCTATCTATCTATCTATCTATCTATCTATCTATCTATCTATCTGTCTATCTACATATATCTATATATCTATATATCTATATCTATATTGTTGTTGTTAGTTGCGAAATCATGTCCAACCCATCACGATCCCATGGACAACGTTCCTTCAGGCCTCCCTGTCCTCTACCATCCTCTGGAGTCCATTTAAGCTCACGCCAACTGCTTCAGTGACTCCATCCAGCCACCTTATTCTCTGTCGTCCCATTCTTCTTTTTCCCTCAATCTTTCCCAGCATATCTATATCTATATATCTATATCTATATCTGTCTATCTATTACTTATCTACATCTATCATCTATCTATATCTACAACTATTTATCTTTCATATCTCTCTCTCTCTATTTATCTATCTATATCTATATCTATATCTATATCTATATCTTTCTATACATAGATAGAATTTTTTATTGGCCAAGTATGATTGGACACAAAAGGGATTTGTCTTGGTGCATATGCTCTCAGTGTACATAAAAGAAAAGATACATTCGTCAAGAATCATAAGGTACAACACTTAGTGATAGTCATAGGGTACAAATAAGCAATCAAATAATATTAGGAAACAATCAATATAAATCGTAAGGATACAAGCAACAAAGTTACAGTCATACATACATACATACATACATACATACATGTCTGTCTGTCTATTATCTATCTAATCCTTTTTTTGGCTGTTATTTTAATATTTTTCCCATCTCTGCAGAATTTCCTACCTTTCTGCATTCAGGAAGCTCATATGTACTGGAGGCAATAGGGCTCTACTACTGTTGCTCCATAGTTACTACTATTTGAAGTATTGATAATCTAGTACAAAGTTGGATTGCCTCAAAGTTGATTAGATTTATGCACTTTGTCCTCTAAAATCCCAGGTTTAGCCAACAAGACTCAACTGGTACAAGAGCCAATAAACACACCCAGAATTACAAAGCAGGATATCTTTCAATTCAGGAATTACTTTACCATTTTTCATCATCTTTTTACACAAAAATAAATTTGCAGCTACCTCAGAGTTTTAGTTGTTAGTAATTTTCACTTTTTAAAAATTAAATTGTATTTTATGTTCTATATTTTAACTATTGTTAACTGCCTTTAATATCAACTGAATACAAAAGTGGGGTATCAAGCAAATAAATGATTTTTCTTTATAAAGCATCCTACTTTAGCTGGAAAAAGAAAAGACATGTTGTTATTTTGTTCAGAAAAATGTGGGCAAAGATCTTGCCTGTGATGGACAACAACAAGATACCACTGTAGTATCTAATTTGCTTCCCTTGTTTTGGCTGCCAGAGGCACTATGGGCCGGTCCTTTGCTACTTCGAAGCCAGCCCCACGGGCCAGATTTAAGCACCCTGTGGGCCAGATGCAGCCCATGGTCTTGAGTTTCACACCCCTGACCTAGATGATTGTCTAACTTTTATTCCCGTGCATACAAACAGATCTCTTGCACCTAGATCATGGTTTCTCAACTAGGGTTCTGTGGAATCCTAGGATTCCATAAGAGATTACCAGGGGTTTCCTGGGAGTTCCTTATTTAAGCAAATGTAAGCCTTCAAACATCCAACTCTTAGTTGGCTCACCGTAGTGGGCAGAGAGCCGGGATTGTGTACATGCATGCCAGTGAGAAGGTGAGCAAAATCCACACTAAGTAGTGAGCAAGAAGAGACGAGAAGAACAGCAGGTGGTGGGAGAGTGTACTCAAGAAGAGAGCGACCATTGGGCCTCTGTGCTGGGGCACTCCTTGTCAGCATGCTAGCTTGCCAGTCTGCTTTTCTGCTGGGGCAGCAACTTGCTGAGCAAGCAACTGCAGGAGATCTAGGGCTGGGTTGGCCCAGATACCAGTGGCAGCAGGATCCACCCATGGGGAGCAGAGAAGAAGGCAGGGGAAAGGAAAAGTTTTAATTCTTTATTTTTAGTAATGCATGACATGTGCATGACTACACATAAAATGAATATAATAATTTTGTAACTTCTGGCCTATATTTGAACCTAAATATTCAGGAGTTTTCTAAAGTCAGAATAATATTTTAGGGGTTCCACCAGACTCAGAAGGCTGATTTAGAGTCTTACACAGTTTGAAATGTCAGTCTTGGCCAGCCAGCCCAAAGATTGGAAATATAAATGATTTGTTACACATATGTTGATACCAGAATGATAAAGTTTTCACTGGTCACGTGGTGTTTATTTATGGGATTTGTGATCATTAAGGCATAACAGATGGGTTGCAATGCAAAATAATATTTTTGTTAAGTTGAATATTCACCAAAGAAAGAACAGGCTGAACTCCTCGATATGAAACATGTCTTAATAATGTCAATCCCATTGAATTAAAAAATGTTACTGCATTTTAAACATTATTACTTAGAAATAAGTAACCCTTAAGCATGCTTGGATAGCTTCAAAATAGAGCTTTACAGATGGTATAATCAAAGCACATAATTTTTGCAACATTGATCTTCTTTTGTCTCATATTTTTCTTTAAATTTTGCCATATAAGAGTAAGGAATGGAAGGAAATGTATTTTAAAAAATGTTTCCAACTCTTTAAATAATCCTGGGTTGTATTTGAGCAACAAGAAATATACAGAAAAAGGAAAGGACAATGTTTGCGGAAGCTATTATAAACATGGAAAACTATATTAGCATTTCTTCTACCGTGTTTCCCTGAAAATAAGACTCTGTCTTATATTTTTTTGGATCTCGAAATAAGCACTTGGCCTTATTTTCGGGAAGGTCTTATTATTTTGGGGCACATGGAACAAGACGGGGCTTTTCTTGCCGTCTTACCTGATTTCCAGCTCTGTCTCCCTAACCCAAACCAGAGGAAATGGTGGGGACCAGCTGCGCATGCTGTTTAATATTTTCGGGGAGAGCTAATTTTCGGGGAGAGCTTATTTTCAGGGAGGGCTTATTTTAGCATATGTGTTCAAAATCCTGACTGGGCTTATTATCTGGGGAGGTCTTATTTTAGGGGAAACAGGGTAACTGAAATGAATTATAAATAAAACACTGGAATTTTTATTTATAATAAAAATCAACTTAGCAAGCTAACTCACTAACATTGTTTTCACTAAATTTCCTCTTCCCTATCCAGGTAAATGTTATTTAATTTGAATTGACTGAATATTAAATGCTTTTGGTTCTGTTTTCTCAAAATGGTCCATGTTGGGAGTTGCAATTCAAAGCATTCTGGAGGGTATCAGATTAGGAAAAGGTCATTGAAAGATCATGAGAAACCACATAATTATTTTAAGAAGGTGAGCAATTGCACTTTTATATCACATTTGATATAATAGCAAGACTGGTGCAAACTAACTGATCCTTACTTCAATACTTTCCCAATCTGCATGGCATGTCTCTTTCTAGGCTTCATGAATTAAGGAAGACCATGGAAGATCCTTCACCCAAGAATCTTCTCCATTTTTGCAATACAGTTGTAAAAGAGTTATGTTTCTGAGTACTCCAATCCCTGGAAGAGATGATGCAGCAACTTTCCTTGAATAATACCACACACTCAAAACAAAACAAAAGTTTGGCCAAATTATCAAAGTTGTTGGGAGAGTTGAACATTCAATGCAATCAAGGAGGTGCCACAATGCAGCATTTTAAGGATGGGAATCATAAAGAGTTACAAAAAAAATTATTTTGTTGGTTGCAGATAAATACTTCAGTCTATTCATCTTCTTGTATAACACATGAACAGTGTTTATAATATAATATAATGAGACATGGATCTGAAATAATATGGGAAGGAATAGTGTTGAGGCCTCCAGCAGAAAAACAAATCCCTATTCAATAGAATTTACCAGAGCAGCATGACTGTTTGTAAGAAAAATATCTTGGATCTCATACATTTATATAAAGTTACTCGTCATTATTTCAGATTCCTGTATGGTAAGCAATCCAATCTCGATAGTAAGTAACTCGTGTATAGACTCCAGGTTTATTTGGCTTAGCACATTCATCTCCCCAGCTTACTATGCCAACAAGGTACCATATTCCTCTTGAATCAGATGTAACCAATGGTCCACCAGAATCACCCTAAAAGGGATGGAACATCACTTTAGAAAGACCAAGGAGAAAAATCTATAGTGTATATAATCATATGATAGATAGAACTGTTTTATCAAACATGATACCATCTAAAATGATTTCCCTTGACATAAAATCTTCTTAGAGGAAGCTATAATCGGGTCATCTGAAGACCACATTTCTCTCCTGCCTCCCAAGCCTTCATGGCTGGACATATTTATCAACTTTAAGGGCTTTAAAATACAAATTAATATAGAAATGGAATAGAATAAACAAAGCAATAAAAATAAAGATCACATATTTCCCATCCTTAGCCATAGTTTTCCCATTCCTTTCCCCAGATGCGCACCATAACCCTGGAACTGCAAAAAAAAAAAAAAATGGCCGTCCACATTTTGTATCTCCTAGTTCACCTCTTTTTAAAAAGATTTTTAAAATTCTGCATTTATTTTTTATGAATAACTCAAGGTAGCTAACATACATAATACTTCTTCATTCTATTTTCTCCAATGAAGTAGATTGGGCTAAGAAAAGATGACTGACCCAGTCTAGACTAGGACTAGAACTCATAGATTTCTATTTTCTTAGTCAGCATCTTAAATACTACACCAAATTGTTCTTTTTTTCCATCTAAATCTCTGTTACTTAGTTATAGAAAAAGATGGTGGTGTATAAATAAGTGGATTTTGCTCCAGCACAAAAATACTATTAAATCATAATATATGCAGGAGCTTTTGCTGACTTCTAAGTTACTATTACACCTACCTGACAAGCATCGCTTCCTCCTTCTAGGTATCCAGCACAGAGCATTCCAGATGAAATGGCTCCATTATATACTTCTCTTTTGTTGCAAATTTCATTACTTATAATTTTCACTTCTGTTTGACGAAGTTCACCAACACTGGGACCTGATTTGCAAATAATAATGGAGTATTTTATCCATGAAAATTCATTATCAGGTTATAGAGTAGCACAACCACAAAACACATATGCTTAGTCTGTGATTTTGGCCATGGTATCAGAAATCCTTTAAATTCCATCCCTTTAAAAGATATCTTCCTGTGATAATTTAGCCTTCTACAATACATTATTGTCAAAAAGTTCCAACTCTGTTATTCTGTGTTCTAACTAACACTGTCAGGTGGCTCCATCAGGTTCAGAACCTCAGAATGAAACATTAATTTCCACAGTTGAACATTTATGTGTTTATTTATCCTGCCTATTTTTTACAAACAAGTCAAGATGGCAAACATGCTGTGGGAAGTATACCCCAAAAGGACAGTGCCAGAAACCTCACAGCACCAGAAAACTCCTGCTCCCTGACAAGATTAACCCCCAGGATAGGAAAGACAAAGCCCCAGGAACAGGATTAACCTATTGAAGCAGGAAGACAGGATACAGGGCAATCACTTTAACTAGAGGCACACAAAGCTGCAGGAACTTCTAAGGGGAATTAACCATAAAAGACTCAGATTCATATCCCCAAGCTGCTTGCAAGCCAGGAATGTTTGAGCTATGTCACTATTTTATTTTATTTTTTGCCTTCCTGAATTAAAGGATCCCTTTTCTGGCAGCTGCTTTTTTTTTTTTAATTTTTTAATTTGATTTATATGCCGCCCTTCTCCAGAGACACAGGGCGGCTTACAATGCGCTTACAATGTGCTTCCATGTCTATTTCTTTTCAGCATCAGTGACTGCTTCCCAGCTGGGAACAAACCAGGGAAATTTCTTCCAACAATGCAACACCCCTTCCTCACCCTATTTTCTCTACAACAATATCTCTGTGAGGTAAAAGTGCAACTGCATTTGCCCTCTCCTGCTTTACCATCTCCGGCGCCCATAATCGCTTTTCATCTACCTCCCATATTTTTCAACTGGCTTATACTTCGGCGGACCTCCTCTCACGGATGTGGCCTTCCTATCTATCGAAACCCCAAGTGGTGGCATGCTTCAAAGCAGGGTCTGAGGGGCTTTTTAATTAGAGTTTTTAACCAAATTTTAAGGGGACCCGGGAGGCGGGTGGTGAGGAATGAGCTGGGGGTGGCTCTTACAGTTCAGCAACCTGGCCCATCTGACGGTTGTGGGGGGAGGGGGGAGGGAAAGAAGAGGCTTGGTGGAGAGAGGGTCTTCCAATCCCTGTGATGGTTGGGAGAGGCAGGGGATGTGAGAGGAGGGGATATGGAGAGCGCCACCGCTGTGTCCAAACGGTGGTGCGCTCCTACCCCCCTTGGCTCCCCCTGCTTCCCCAGGGGTGTAGGAGTGGAGAGCACTGGACTCCGGCTGGTGTACTTGAATGCCAGGTCCGTGATGAATAAGGCCCTCCTCGTGCGAGATCTTATTGAAGAGGAGGACGCGGACCTGGCCTGCATCACAGAGACCTGGTTAGGGCCGGAGGGAGGTGTCCCTCTCTCCGATTTATGTCCCCCAGGCTTCCGTGTGTTTCACCAGCCGCGACTCCAGGGTAGGGGCAGGGGGGTGGCGGTAGTTATTAGGGAGAGTCTCAGCCCCAGGGAGCTCATTGTTCCTCAGATAGGTGGGTATGAATCACTCCTTTTGAAGTGGGACCCTGGAGTTCAGTCGGGTCTGTTGGTTACATACCTATCTCCCAGCTGCGTAGCCTCAGCTCTGCCCGCACTACTAGATGTCTTGGCCGAGTTGGTGGTTGAACTCCCCAGCCTTTTGGTTGTGGGAGATTTCAACTTGCCATTGGTCGGGGAGACATCTGAGCTAGTGCGGAAGTTCATGACCTCCATGATGGCCATGGACCTAACTCAGGTTGTACAGGGCCCAACTCATAAAGGAGGACACACACTCGACCTGATTTTTCTCTCTGGACAGTAGATAAATGATCAGGGTAAGGGGGACTTATCCATCTACCCCCTGTCGTGGACTGATCATTCCCTCCTCAGGCTGGACTTTCTCTTCACCACACTCTGCCGCTGGGAGGCGGAACCAGTGAGATGGTTCCGCCCCAGGCACCTGATGGACCCTGAAAGGTTCCTGATGGAGCTTGGGTCATTGCCCGCCTCCTTAACCCATGATTCATCCGAGGCCCTGGTGGAGGCCTGGGATTGAATTGTGCCTTTGCGGCCTCTGACCTGACGCAGATCCCGGGTGGCTCCATGGTTTACTGTGGAGCTTAGGGAAATGAAGTGTCGGAAAAGACATCTGGAGGGCGGTTGGAGATCCTCCCGGTTGGAATCTGACCGAACACAGTTAAGAACCCATATTAGATCTTATCTTGTGGCGATGGAAGCGGCGAAATGCCATTATTTCACCGCTCTCATTGCATCTGCAGAAAACCGCCCAACAGCCCTGTTTAGAGTGACCCGCTCTCTTTTCAATCATGGAGTGAAGGAGGACCCCTTGCAGGGCAGAGCTGAGGATTTTGTACAGTTTCTGCAAGATAAAATTGCTCAGATCCGGACTGGGTTGGACTCTGACTGGGCAGAGTCTATTGAGGAGACAAGGGCTTGTCTTGAAGGTAACATCTGGGTTGGATTTGAGCCTGTTTCGGTGGATGAAGTGGACAGGATTGTGGGTCAGCTCAGTGCCTCCACGTGTTTATTGGACCCTTGTCCCTCCTGGCTTGTTTCTGCAACCAGAGAGGTGACTGGAGGCTGGATCCAGGCTGTTGTCAATGCTTCTTTAAAGGAAGGAGTCTTCCCCGCCGCATTTAAAGAGGCGGTGGTTCGACTCCTCCTTAAGAAGCCTACCCTGGATCCAGACTCCCTTAACAACTATCGTCCAGTCTCCAACCTTCGCTTTATAGCGAAGGTTGTTGAGTCCATGGTGGCACAGCAACTCCCTCAATTACTGGAGGAAACGGACTACCTTGACCCATACCAATCAGGTTTCAGGCGCGGTCACAGCACAGAAACGGCATTGGTCACCCTGGTGAATGATCTCTGGCGGGCTCGGGATGGGGGCTGTTCCTCCATCCTGGTCCTACTTGACCTCTCAACGGCTTTTGATACTATCGACCATGGTATCCTGCTGCAGCGACTCAGGGGGCTGGGGATAGGAGGCACTGTTTTGCGGTGGGTTCTCCTCCTACCTCTTGGGTCGCTCGCAGTTTGTATGGACGGGCAGACAGAGATCCTCCCCGAGGCCTCTCACATGTGGGGTGCCTCAGGGGTTGGTTCTCTCCCCCCTGCTCTTTAACATCTATATGAAGCCATTGGGTGAGATCATTCGTGGTTTTGGGGTGAGGTATCATCAATATGCTGATGATACTCAGCTTTATATCTCCACCCCAGACCACCCTGGGGATGCCCTTTCTGTGATGTCCCGCTGCCTGGAAGTGGTGCGGGCCTGGATGGGAAGAAACAGACTCAGACTCAACCCATCCAAGACCGAGTGGCTGTGGATGCTGGCATCTCGGGATCTCGTGGTTCTGTCACTTGTGATAGGAGGGGAGGTACTTACTCCCTCTGAAAGGGTTCGCAATCTGGGTGTCCTCCTGGATTCATGGCTGTCTTTAGAAGATCACTTGACAGCCGTAACCAGGGGGGCTTTCGCATAGGTACGCCTGGTACGCCAGTTGCGCTCTTTCCTAGACTGGGACGCCCTCGCCACAGTCACTCATGCCCTTGTTACTTTTTCGGTTGGATTACTGTAATGCCCTCCACATGGGGCTGCCCTTGGGATGCACCCGGAGGCTTCATCTAGTCCAGAATGTGGCCGCATGGGTTGTTACGGGAGCCTCTCATTATTCCCGTGTAACACCTCTCCTGCGCGATCTGCACTGGCTGCCGGTGGTCCTCCAGGTTCGTTTCAAGGTGCTGGTGCTCACCTATAAAGCCCTACATGGCTTAGGCCCGGGGCACTTGCAAGATCATCTTCTGCCATCCTCCCATCGTCCTGTGCGCTCTCACAGAGCGGGCCTCCTCAAGGTGCCGTCAGACAGACAATGTCGGCTGGTGGCCCCCAGAGGGACAGCATTCTCTGTGGGTGCGCTGACCCTCTGGAACGGTTTGCCCACCGGGCTTAGGACAGCCCCCAACCTCCTCTCCTTCTGCCATGAACTGAAGACGTGGCTTTTTCATCAAATGGACTGACCCATTGAGGGGGTTTTTTATATTGTAATAATTTTAATTAATTTTAATTGAATTTTAATTTATATTTAATTCATATTGTTGAATTTTTATCTTGTAAGCTGCCCTGAGTCCTTCGGGAGAAGGACGGCATATAAATTGCAATAAAATAAAATAAAATAAATAACTAGCCCTTCTGAGAGATCACCCAGCTGGCTTCCACTGAAGGACTTGAACTCAAGGTGTCCTGCTTTCTGGTAATCTGCTAATCTGGTGTCTTAATCACTAGGCCAAATTGCCATAATGTCGAGTGTTTCTCTTCCTGAAATCTTTATGGATACATCTGGTTAGGAAGGAAAGTAAACCCACCTACTAGTGTAATTTGATGTCTCTATAATCTGGAACCAACTCTACTGTAGTTAACAAATGATCAGAGAATGATTATTCACATGAGCCAACTAGCCCCAAATAGGGAGCTACTAACCGTCATCTTTAAGAGCACCAAATCCTGTAACAGCACAAGTTGTATTCTCTGGAAAAATATAGGAAGCTTCTGGGAGACAAACACGATGTACAGCAGTTGTAAATTCCACTGGGGATGAAATCTGTACAACAGCAATATCAAATTCATGGTTCATGACATTATTAGCATAATGCTCATGTATGATGATCTGGCGAAGATTCCTTCTCACTCTTGGAGGTCTTAGACGAGCCCCAAAACTACTTGTCCAACTTCTGACATCTCGGACACTGAAAAACATTACAGAGTACAATAGGCACTCTATTTGCATTTGCATTTATTGTAAACAAAACTTCACAAGGGTTCCTTGCTAACTGTTTTTCAATTTTTCCTGCACTCTCACCACCATCAAACTTCAAGATTAGAAATACATTCAGTTTATAAAATGGAGTGTTTAGGGAAACAGCAGATGTGAACAGAGATAAGAGCTAAACACCACTCTCCCTTGTAGAGTTTTATTAGTTTTGAACATATGAGACAAATTGTATTAGTGGTAACATCTGTGCATAAATGAACTGGAAAATTTTATTGATTAAACATGTTGGTTTAGATGTAGTCTTAGAGGTATGGGGAAAGATTTACTCACCCTCTAAAACAATGAGCAGCAGTCACAAGCCAATTATTGCTGATCAATGTTGCTCCACAACGATGAATGCCATTCAGCTGGAGACTAGCTTGCCAGGGCCATTCCCCTTCCCCTGCAATGGATCCTCCATAGATTCTCTCCACAGATCTGTCCAGTCGTGTCCCACAGCCTGCTCCAATCCCCAAAAAGAATGTTAGTTCATTTCTTTCCAGAGAACAGAACACTTTATTAAAGGGGATCTGGGATTTTGCCAGCAGTATAAAAATCATAGTTTATTAGAACATAATTTTTAATGTTAAAAAATAAACAAAAGCACTATTCTTTGGAAATATGGAAAATGGCTTAATTTTATTCATGTTTACCTGGAAGACATTCTTCCCAAAAATGGTGGAATGTATTAAACAGTCATACATCATTCATTCACTGAACATTAAGAGAAAAAGGTAAGGGACTATCAAAATATAATTGTTTCTGTTCATGTTCTGCTTTTTTCTTGTCCTAAATTATTCATTCACAGCAAAACAAGAAAAGAATTGCATAATCTGTTTGAATACAGGTAGTTCTCAATTTCTGTACAGTTGGGACAGAATGTCTAAGAACTAAGCCAGCTGGTTATTAAGTGAGTTGCACCCAAATTTATCATCTTTTAGCCACGTTCTTAAATGAATCACTCCAATTGTTAAGTGACTCACACAGCTATTAAATGAATCTGGTTTACCACATAGATTTTGTCTGTTGGAAGCTAACTAGATAGGTCTCAAATGGTAATCATGTGACTACAGAGTGCTGCAACTGTAAAATGCTAGAAACTGTCTTTCTGAAAACTCTCCACCAAACAAATACAGAATTGCATTTCTGGGTTCAGGAAAGAAAATAGATATGTTTTTCAGTTTGCTGAGGTTAGCTTAGAAATATCGTTCTTTTTTCTCTTAGGAAAAAATACTATATAATAGTTCTGTAGAAATATCTCATCCTTAAGAAAAAATTCATGGATAATAAATACAATATTACAAATGTGAATTTAAAATTTATTTTCATGCCTCATTACTATATTAAAAAAGAGGCTCCATATTTTCTTTATCTTCATAATATTATTTAGTGGAAGTGACTTCAAATGTAATAATCATGCTGAAATAACAAATTTGTGATGATTGGGCATACTAGGAGATTAAAAAAGAGTTTGAGAATAATGGTGCGAAGGCAGCATTATAGCTTTCTCAATAGGGCAGTCTTATCTTATACAGTAGATATGTCCAGTATCCCTAGTTATAAAATTAAAAACACCTGGATAACAGCATCCAGAGGAAAATTAGGCTAAACACACCAATTTTTAACAAATATGTTTGTTGCAATATTTTCAGGATCAGACTCAATAAGATCAACAAGAGTTAAAGATTTAACTATATATTCTTTTATTTACATTAGGCATTCTATATTCACTGAATATTCACAGATAGAAGCAGGGGAAATGGTGTAGGTAGCTCCTTATATATACAATGGGTGGAGCTATATGTGGGAGTGGTGAATTATGAATACATTAAGAAGTGAAGAATAAATTAACCCCTGATACCCTGTCTGTACACTATTTACACATTGAAGAATAAGGCATTTATATCTGACAATGTTTTCAAACAGAAAGCTGTTCTGATACTTACAACTGTTGAGAAGATTTGTACCATTTTCTTCATTTATTTCTGGAAAAAAAGATAGAGAGGATAAATTTTAATTTGGCAATAGCAATATTTTCCCCATCCTTCATCCTAAAGTACCTGATTCAGTCAATCAATTAATCAATCAATCAATCCGAATAGAGCTGGAAGGGACCTTGGAGGTCTTCTAGTCCAACCCCCTGGCCAAACAGGAGAATCTATATACCATTTCAGACTGTCCAGTCTTGTCTTAAAACCCCCCAGTGATGAAACACCCACAATTACTGACAGCCAGCTGTTCCACTGGTTAATTGTCCTCACTGTTAGGAAGCTTCTCCTTAATTCCAGATTGCTTCTCTCCTTGATTAGTTTTCATTCATTGTTTCTTGTTCTGCCTACAGATGCTTTGGTAAATAATTTTTTTTTTAATAAAAAGTTTTTTTTTATTTTTTTTAAACATAAACATGAAATACATCTTTTAGAATACAGCATTGATCCGGTTATAAATTGGTACAATCACTAATTTATCTTTAACAATATTTCATCTCCACTAATTATCATCTTATAAAAATAATAATAATTAAAAAAAGTAAAACAGAAAAAACCAGCTCACAATAACTCATTCAAAAACAATTACCTTTCTATTTTTTCACCTCAAATCTTAATTTCCAAATAACACAACTTAATGTTTTAGACAATTGTTTCCCTAAATTCTATCTATTTTGTAATCCCATTATCCAAAAACCCGTTACTTAAATCTTTAAATCCTAACTCAATATAATTTCATTATCTTTTTATTTTATTTGAATGAATGTATCTTAAAAAATAAATCATTACTATTATCTTAAACAATATCTTAACAATTACTCACAACAAATCATCTTCATTATTAATCTCCATATCATCATTATAGTTTAGCAAATAATCCCAACATATTTATCTTTAATTATTTATCACAGCACATCATCTTCATTTTAGTCATCCTCTTTTACTTTTAATCCCAGCATAATCATTTTTATTTTAACTGTTGAATCCAATATAAGTATTTATTTTTACTGTTATTTCCAGCAAAATCATCTTTATTTTTTACTGTTAAACCCAGTATAATCATATTTATTTTTACTGTTACTCCCAGCTTCATCATCTGAATCTTACTATCAAACCCAGTATGATCATTCTTGCTTTTGCTGTCAAACCCATCATAATCCTCTGAATTTTACTGTTAAACCCAGTAAAATCACTTTTTTTGCTGTCAATCCCAGCAGAATCTTCAAAGTTTTACTGTTAAATCCAGTATAATCATTCTTGTTTTGCTGTACATCCCAGCATAATCTTCTTAATTTTACTGTTAATCCCAATATAGTCATTTTTAATCTCAACATAAATTTCTTTAATTTTACTGTTATACCCAATATAATCACCTTATTTTATATTCATTACTTATTCATATTTATTAGCATTCTCTAATTCAGTGTAACTAATTTTATTTTCATTCTCAGCTTTGTTTACAATTTAACATTGAGTCTTAATTCTTACATCAAACATATCCACATATGAAAACAATAAGGTTTCTTGAATTCTTCTCATATTCATATATTTTCTTCTTCATCTACAGAAAGCTCCTTTTTATCAAAACTATCCATCTTTACTACATTTTTCTATTTTAGTCACCTTATTTTATTATTCATACAAACTGCTCCTTTTATAATTGGTATACATCTAAACAATACAGTTTCATTTTTTAATCAAACTATTTTTTGTTCTTCTTTCCAGTCGTGGATTTTTATTTCTTCATTTCTTTGTCTGTCAAATTATAATCGATTTTGAATTCAGTGTTCCCAATATTAATTCTTCATGTATCATTTTAATTCTTTTTGTTCTTTATATTTCCTGCGAAGTACATCAACTTCCTTCTTTTGTTCCTATGCCAATTAGCAGCAATTATAAAAATTCCATTGCATTTCCTCTTTCTTTCCATCAAAAAAACCGTCTGTAGACAAAGAAGAAACTTCTAGTCCCAACCACTCACAGTTGTTTCTCAGTAGTTTCACCATGCTCCAAGACAAACGACAAATTACAGTGTTTCTTTTTAAAATGGGAAGTGTTACTCTGCAATCCACACTTCCCCTTTGTCAGATCCGTCTCCATTTTATTGTGATTATATAACAATCAAATTCAATTCATTTCTTCTTTTAAATTTTAAAAGTATTACGTCTCTTCTTTTTCCCTTTTTTCCAAATCCAAATCTAATTTAAACAAATTCTTTCCAGGCTTTGCAATATGCCTCAATGTTTATTTATTCCAATTTGTTCCAAACCAAAGTAGTTTGCCTTACGGGTCTTTTCCTTCTAAGGTCACTTTTCAAAATCTTCTATGCCCCTGTAATCCACAACTGCTATTTTTAGGCTAGGGGTCTTTCAAATGTTAATTATTGCTCTAGCATTGTTTCAATCCTAGGTTGGTGTCACTCACCCGGCTTCAAAGAGCTCCGTTCTTTTCACTCTCCTCCTGCACTTCTCTTGTTTTGGTTTGTCCCAGCTTCATGGCAGCCGCCATGGCTGGTTGCCCCCCACCGCAGATGCAGAGAGTTCCCTCCGACCTCCGAGTAACTTGCCTATTCCTCTTGGTCGTCCCCATCCCTGCAGGACAGTTCGGGTCCAAAGACCCACCGGCGGAGGTTCAACAGTCGGGGTGTTCGTGGGGCTCATCAGAGCCCACTATGGTAAATAAATTGATCCCCTCCTCTTTATGGCAATCTCTCAAATACTGAAATACTTGTCACCACTAGTCCTTCTTTTCTTTAGCCAAACCCAAATCCTGCAACTGTTCTTCATATGTTTTAGTCTCTAGGCCTTTAATCATCTTTTTTTTTTTAGTAAAGTTTTTTTTTAAACACATCTTAATTGCTCTTTTTAGCTTTCCTGATTCTTCTTGACAAATAAAATATAAATAAATAAATAAATATTTGCAGATTCGGGCTATTCTGCCTTAGTTATATGTCCCTCTTTCCATTTTTTGTACTTGTCCTTTTTGTCTTTCAGTTTATCAGAGAGATCTTTGTGCAACCATGTGGGTTCTTCTTGAATTTCTTATTTTCCTTTTTCAGTGGTATTGTACTGGACTGATCTTTTACAACAATATCTTTCAGAGTTTCCCATGCTTCTTGAGTTGTTTTCCCGTTTAGGATTTTCATTCATGGAATTTTTCCTAGGCTCTCTCTGAGTTGTTAAAAAGTTAACATTTAACAGTTGTTAAAAAGGTATTGGCTAGATTATGTTCTATTGCTTGTGTTTGCATTATATTGAATTCCAGTATGATGTGGTCACTCTCACCCAAAGTTTGGGCAATTTCAACTCCCTCTATCACTTCTTCTTTGTTAGAAAGAACTAGCTTTTCCTCTATTTCCCTCCTCTACCTTTTGGATGACAAAGTTGTCAACTAGGTTGGTTAGGAATCTGTTTGCTCTCCCACTTGCTGCAGTTTGTCTCCCAGTTCATATCAGGGTAGTTAAAGTCTCCCATTACTACTGTGGTATATTTCCTACATACATTTGTTAGTTGTTTAGCAAAAAGGTCATCTATTTCTTCTGCTTGGTTGGGTGGACTGTAGTATATGCCTGTAGCAATGTCATTCTTTTTTCCTTTTATATTGACCCATATGGTCAATATAGAGGTTTTCATCCTTGGTTTTGTGTATTTCTATAGAGATGTAGTGATCTTTTATATATAATGTAACTCTGCCTCCTCTTTTGTTAAGTCTGTTTCTTTTGAATAGTTTGTATCTGTCCATCAGTACATCCCACCAAATTTCAATAATGGCAACTATATCATATTTACCTTCCTGTACTATGGTAGTATTTACATTTACTAGTATTTACTAGTATTTATGATTTTCAATAATCACTAGTAATTTGAGAATATTGGCAGAGGATGTTTTCATACCAGTATCTCCCTTCCAGTAGGGTTGAATGAACAGCATTTTAAATAAGAGATATGAAAAAATTGCTTTTTCTTTTCTTTTCTTTTTTTTGCTCAGAGCAAAACAGAATATCTTAGTACTGTCTTTGTAAATACAGTATAAATGATGTTACAACCATATTAGCCTTAGGAAACCTGAAAATTGCAATGCCACATCTCTAAGTTCTTCCTCTTGGTTAAAAGTTTTTAATTGTATTTTTCCTGGACTAGATTTTATGTAATTTAAAGCATTTAACTTTGCATCTTTCTACTATTACAATCACCAGAAAAAAAATAAGGTATCTATTAGGAATTTGGTCTCTTACAGAAACTATGTCAGAAAGTTCTTTATAATCCATTTAGTTTGTTAGCATCATGAATTAACCAACCAACTGATGTTCCCATTTGTTGACTTGTATTGTATAAGGGAGACTACTTCATAAAAATAAACAAATAACATAAAGATTATTGACTTTGGCTCAATGAAATTTTCTCAATATTCTTTGGCAAAATGCTCTGTTAATTCCTAATGATAATTCCTTAAATATTAAAAATAAGTAAATGAAAACCATGGAACAATTATTAATAGATTGGATGGAAATCTGAAATCTGTAAGTATTTTATTTCCCCACAGGGGGGGGAAATGCAAATACTACAGAAAAATCTTAAGCAGGAATAGGAAATGAATAATGCAGTTTTGATTAAATCAACATATATATTTCAGATTACAGTGCAAGCAAATAAATCAGTTTTAAAAATTTGATCATCATTACAAAGGACATCTGTAACACTTGCCTGAAAGCTTATAAGAAGAAATATCAATACTTAAGGGCCATGTTGACAACTTCAGTTTTTCCAGCAAAGTCTGATAAATATTTGTCCAGAGTATCTCTTTATTATCTGTGGCAACGAACTTAAATATCAGCACCACATCTGCCAGGACACCATCATTCCCTGGGCTGCAAAAGAATAATACAGACAGCTGACCCATCAAGCCAGAATATTTTCTATACTCTGCAGGGGTTTTTTTTTTTTTTCATATATATTCACTCAAGGCTTTGAGGCAAATAAGGCAGAAAAATTAAAATACATACATAAAGGAACAGCAAGTAGAAGCACCAGACGATTTGCTGCTCAACTCATTGCCTTTTAGAAATGGATGAGAAGAGACTGGGCAGATATTAGAAAATGTTTTGACATAAATTTGGGTGACACCATCAAAAATGGCTATGATTTGGGATGGGGGAAAATATAGGGATCTTTGAGAGGCACAGAGTTTTCCCTTGTTTTAACTCTTTCCCCTTCTCTTTCCATGTGCCCATTTTGCAATTAAGCTTTATTCATTGGTGGTTTTTTACCTATAAATATTTGCCCCACAATTACCAGAAATAGTGTTATGCTGAAAAATGAGTATAGGGGTGGGGGTGGGGGAACAGAAGCAGGATAATGCCTTTCATCTGCCTAAATATATAAGTAATTAAATAAGACAACATTGCAGACTTACCAGACTTTGCAGAATGCTGATTTGCCAAAATAAACTTCCAATAAATGGGATATTTTTGGATAAAAGAATGCCAATTTATTATATGCTCAGTTTAATAAAAGATTAGTGTCTTCTAACATGCCTCCAGTTCCTAAGTGTTAGACTACAACTAGCATAATTATGCTAGTTTTGAATGTGTGACTGATTTATGGGAGTGAGAACTGAGAAATAACCCAGATCTATTTCTTAATTCTATCTGGACCATTTGATTTATAAATTCATTCTCATGTCATTGTTAGCAATTAATTCAACATCTATTCCTAAGTGGAATGTTCATCTACATACCTTAGCCTGACAACACGTGCATTAATGAGCCTTTTTTCTAAGGGAGTAGCTTGAAATGCTTGTTTAATCTGTTGAAAGGAATGAAAAGTTATGCTTGATATAGAAAATGTTTTAAACAGAGTAAAAATGCAGCAGGTCCCCTAGGAACATGCTGAGAATTACATGCATTGGGAAAGGGGCGGGGCTTGTATAGTAATATAGTCCATCATCTTTGCAGATTCTAACTGCTCTTTTTCATGGACATCCATGTAGCAGTGAAAAAACCAATACAGTATGAACCAATTAAAACAATCTGGCTAGGCTTGAAAGAACAAATTTGACTATTCTTTCTTTATCATCTGAGTTAACATTTGTAAATAACTGGGATGAAAGGTTTAAAATTTTATAATAAAAAATGCCACTGATATAAAGTTAGGAGGAATAACACTTTAGAAGACAGTATCAGGATTCAGGAACAAGCTGGAACAATGGATAAAAACCAGCAAATGTAACTCAACAGTAATATATTGTTTATTTTCTTCAACATTCATGCTGCCTAGAGTCACTTGGAGGTGATTTTAAGCAACTTACGTCTTAGATTTGTATATTAAAAAAAACCAAAGGCCCAAATACAAGGTGGGATGGCATGCTGGGAGCAATATAGCTGAAAAAAAATCTGAATGCCTTGGTAGCTCACAAACGGAAGATGAGCTAGTGCTGTGAAGAAGATGGGGGGGGGAAACAAATGGACTGTTGGGGTGCCTAAACAGAAATATAGTGTCAAGAGAAGTCTTATTTTATTCTGTTCCTACCACAATTAGAATAGTATACCAAGTTCTGGGAAACATATTTTTAAAAGAATAATGAGAACCTGGAGGTATTTGGAGAAAGAGTGATTTAGCAATGGAATAAACTGTTTTAGGAAGTGCTTGTCTTTTTCATTGGATGGCTATATTATAGTGGAGAATTCCTACATTAAGAAGGGGTTACTTGATCTCCAAGGTTTCTTCCATTCCTTCTATTCTACTATTACTCTAATTATGGTTGGTTGGATAATAGGATAGGAAACCACACAAATTTACCATTCCCCTAAGATAATTTCTTTCTAAAAAGAATGTATCTGGATCTGCAATAAAGAAATAAAAATTAAAATAAACAAAACATGCATACAAAAGATAAGCCTGCTTGGAAAGTCCTTTAAAATCCTTCCACAAATGGAAGCTATTAAATTGCAGTATTAGATGGTCTAACTAGAATGAAAGTGAGCTGTAAAAAGAGTTGCACATCTGTTTAACAAACTAGGTTTTATTGACTATTTGAATGGGAATTTCCTCTAAGTTAGCCACAAGCTTATATTTGAAATAGAGGTGACAAAACTGTGCAACTTTATTGAACCCTGGTGCAATCTCTGCCCAGTTGTCTTATCAAAGGATTGGCATGTTGAGCTAATTTAAGTATCTCAACCAATATTTCATTGCTACTATGACTTGTTCTAAGTGTTAACTTTTAATTGAATGCCTTCTTATTAGAGCTGTCTTAACTTTGGATCAGGCTAGTTTAATGCCATATTTTGTAACTATTTCTCTCTGATATTATATTTCTTGAACTTTAAAATAGTGTTTCCATTTTTCAGTTTCATACTTGAGAACCTGGCTTTTCTGAAGTCCAGGTTTAAACATTGATTGTACAGGTAATCTTTCAACCAACTGAGCCCCAAATTTCTGTTGCTATGTGAGATAGTTGTAAATTGAATTTTGCCCCATTTTATGTCTTTTCTTGCCAGAATTGTTAAGTGAATCACTGCTGTTCTTAGTTAGTGACATGGTTATTAAGTGACTCTAGCTGGTCCATTGACTTTGCTAGGCTGAAGGTCACAAAAGTGATCATATCCAGGACACTGCAACCATCATAAATATGAATCAATTGTCAAGTGTCTGAATTTTGATTATGTGACCCTGGGAATGCTGCAATGGTCATAAGTAAAAAGTGAAAATGGCTATAAGTCACTTTTTAAGTGTTGTTGTAACTTTGAACAGTCACTAAATGAACCATTATAAGATGAGGATTACCTGTATTCTTTTATGGTACACACAAGCATATATCAAAGTTCTTGGAATGCCTTCTATCAGTTGTTGCATGCTATTATGAAACACTTAAACTCAACCCAAAGGGCATATATTTAAAGTGTATCAACTGCATAATGTTCAAAGCATATGTGGGCGTGTGCTTCCTTCATCCTGTGGCATGTGCCAAACCCAGCTAATGCACCCAGTTAGTAAAATATCTTCACACTTGCTAATTCTGCTAATAGTCCGATGTGTTGGGATATGAGAATGCTGTCTTTGAATTTAGTATTTACAATCAAGTTGGTTCAATTGTCCATGACCACACATAGATACTTTTTCTCCAAAATTCGATGCCCCCAACCTAGTCATCCATATCTTCCAAACAGTGCATACACCTTGCTGCTGAACATCCTATTTTTTTCTTTCCACCTTCTTCAGCATTAAACCATGTTTCCCTGAAAATAAGACCCTGTCTTATATTTTTTTGAACCCCGAAATAAGCGTTTGGCCTTATTTTTGGGAGGGTCTTATTATTTTGGGGCGCATGGAGCAAGAGGGGCTCCCCTTGCTGTCTTACCTGATTTCCAGCTTTGTCACCCTAACCATAACAAGAGGAAATGGGGACCAGCTGCATGTGCATTTTAATATTTTCGGGAGTGGGGATTTTCGGGGAGGGCTTATTTTCAGGGGGGCTTATTTTAGCGCATGCGCTCAAAAGCCTGATTGGGCTTATTATTCGGGGAGATCTTATTTTCGGGAAAACAGGGTAGACTTCTTTAGGGAGCTGGATATTTGTGTAATATATCCTTAATATGATAATTTGAGCCTGTTTATGTAGGCCTTGAGTTGATTTGTTCTATGAACCATTTATTTATTTTCTTGGTTTTTCATGGTATTCTTCTCCATCATCAAAATTTAAAAGCATTAATACTTATTCTATCCTGCTTCTTGGAAGCCTAATTTCCATACTTCATAAAGTATCACATGGAAAAACATTACCTGCACCATTTCAATCTTAGATATTGGCATATTCCAGCATCTTCTTATTTTTTTCAAGGTCTTCACTAGTGCTCTACAAACTGCTAAAATACAGAACATTTCTGAACTGCTGGTTCTTTTACTGTTGATTGCAATGAGCCCCATTAGGTAGACCAGACTGGGAATCAGCTTCACAGGTAGGCGAAAACTACTTTTATTGACATTTGCTATACTAACAGAATCTTGCAAGCCTGATTGTGCTGTATCTCCATCTACTTTTTATAGTTCCATGAAAATAGGGAATCATCTGCCTGAGTCACTTTCAAATATTATCTATTATTAAATTATCTAGATTTAAGAAATGCTTTAGCTCCTTTTCCAGCTCCATTAAGATGATTTTTCTTATTCCCTTAAATAGCTGATCCTAAAAGGCAGAAATTATCCACCATTTTTTAATCTGGCTTGCAGGGAGTGCAGATGAGATAGAGATTCATAAAAGCTGCTAAGAAGTTTGTGCAGTTTACTAAAGGGGAAGGAAGGATTTACAATTTGCATAATCACACATCAACTTCCACATAAAAGAAACAGAAAAACAGGGAAAGATTGTCCTCTCCCAAAGTTTCTGTGTCGGTCTGTGTTCTTTTCCTTCTCCAGAATAGAATTTAGAACATTAAATGCATTTTAAAAAATCATTCTCACTTACCAAAATCTCAATACTTCTGCTCAGTTCTCTAAATTCTGCTGAAGTCTGCTTGTCAAAGCTAGGCTGATATTGCACATTATTGATTCTAAAGGAAGCATTGTAAAAGAATAGCTTCTGATCTGCATATGAAGAGGGAAGAATGAAAGTATTTATCTTATAGTATCAATTAATTTACAAGAATGAGACACAATTAAGCAATCATCAAAAGAGGAAAGTTTTTAATAATTTAGAGGTTTTATAGGATTAACTATCATGATGTGAAAGACATATTTTAACTCTGAAGCAAAGGATTTTAATATATTTCCCGTATTTTGTATGGGAAGAATGAAGGTCAAGTAGAATAAATTGACCTGGATTATGAATGGTATCTCAAAAATTGGTCCTAGATAAGCAAAGTTATTGAGTTTTGGAGCTGTCAGATAAAGTGTATGTCAAGTGAAAGAAGCCATGCTAGTTCAAACAATTCCTCATCCACAAATAAATAATCAACTATATCTTCTCATGTTTGATGGTTGGCTAGTCTCAAGATTGATTTTGTTATTCATCCTCCTTTCAGAATCTCCAATGAAAGGATTAAAATTCCTTGGTGAAAGGCCAGAATCAGGAGTTGGCTACTTTCTGCTAAGATGCAAATGTTGCAGTGTACAGGAGTCTTGTACAGTATATGCATACTGATATATACAGAGAACCTTTTCAATCAGGTTTCAATCCTGTAAAACAAAACATGAGCAGGTTCTTCCTTTGACTTATCAGACACCGTTTACTGTCTCATCAATGTCTATTGGGCTTATTGTGCCAGAGGTAGTCTTCAAGCAGCTTACTAATTCTATTACCTTATATCCAAATATTAAGACTTATGGCAGCTCTAACAATGTTTCAGCCCTCCAAAATAGACCAAACTTGGAAACCAAAGATAGGTAGTTAATAGGGAATCCTCGGCTTACAACCATTCATTTAATGACGTTCAAAGTTACAACAGCACTGGAAAAAAAGTGACTTATGACCATTTTCCGCACTAACAGCCATTACAGCATCCCCATGGTCACATGATCAAAATTCAGACACTTGGCAACTGGCATGAATGGCAGTTTCAATGACCCAAGGTCATGTGATCATCTTTTGTGACTTTCTGGCAAGCAAAGTCAATGGAGAAACCAGTTTCACTTAACAACTTCCAATGTTACTAATTTAACAACTGCAGTGGTTTACACAACAACTGTGGCAAGAAAGGTCATAAAATGGGGCAAAGCTGAGTAACTGTCTTGCTTAGCAATGGAAATTTTGGGCTCAGTTATTTTGGTCATAAGTCAAGGACTACCCATATTACTTTTATTGCAGGTGGTCCTTGACTTAATGACCACAATTGGGACCAAAAAAATTGTCATCAAGTGATACAGTCATTAAGAAAGGTACCACATGACCATATCCAATTTTTCAACCTTTTTTTAAACCATAGTTGTTAAGCAAGTCACTGTAGCATTAACTGACACATCTTCTGACCACAGTTTGTGACCTTCCATGCCAGCTTCCCTATTGATTTTGTTTGTTGGAAGCTGGTTGGGAAGGACACAAATAGAGATTATATGACTGCATAGTAACGTAACTGTTGTAAGTGCGAGCTGGTTTCTGAGCATCCCAAATCACAATCATGTGACTGTGTGGATGTTGTGATGGTCATAAATGCATTGATTGGTCATTAGTCACTTCTTTGAGCAATGTCATAACTTCAGTCTCTAAATAAATGGCTGTAAATCCAAGACTACTTGGTTATAGTCACAGAATTTTGCAAGTCTGAAAGTACTCCCTCCTCTCTTTTTTCTTCATGAGAAATAGGGAGAGTCATGTTTGATATGCTTTCTCAAATTACTTTTCTGTCCTGGGTTCAGATGTCTTTTATCTGACAATTATCTTGTTTGTAACTCTTCATCCTATTCCTCAGGGTTATTCACACAAAGCTGGCAGGATATAACAGGATCATATGTTGCCTTGGGTGATACAACACAGAAATCAGGCAGGAAAACATTGCCAATCCATAATAAATATGTTTATTATATTTGGCAGATGGTCTGGCTTGAAATGATCCAGTTGGAATAAAAGTAGCTATAAATTCTTCAGGAAAGAAATGCACTAATTCTTTTCTTTCTGATTATTGAAATATTTTCAAGCATAAAGCCATTCAAATCATATGGACTGAAAAAGAAATATACGTACCATATATCAAAAAGTACACAAGCAAACCAATGGCAGTGGCTAAGACCAGCAATACCGCTAACACAATCAAAGCAATCATCCATGGCTCCCAAGATCTGGTTCTTGATATAGACATTCTGAGAAGATGGGCAAACATAAGATTTTGTAGGAGACACAGTGAACCTTAAGTAATACAGTTAATTTCTTCTATAATCTGCTTTCATGTTGTTGTTGATGTTGGTTAATGTTTATGCACATTAAATGTTTCACAAATGAATGAATTAAAAATACTGCTGAACTAATAATAAATTAACTGCATTAATCTTCATTCATTCTTCACACAAGCGAAGAAATCCAGTCAAACTTTTTTTTTTAAAGCTTTTGTCACATAGAGTGGCCACTGGTTTTCCAGTGTCTTTAATATTCATTTTGAACTATAAGATCAACATTATAAGATCAACATTCATGCTTGAAATAAAGTGGGAAACCCACAGCCCTCAGCTACATCCTGGATTTTCAGTTTTAAAATTTTGGCTGCACTTCCTTTTCCAAATTAAAGGTCCTAATGTTCTAATGTTCTTTTTTACTCTTACTCTTTTCATGTATTCAAATTATGTTTATACTTTTACCTGTTATCTTATCTTATATGCTTGACAAATAAATAAATAAATAAAATAAATAAAACAATGCTGCAAATTCCCTTCAGGTTTGACTCTGGCTCTGGCTCCAGCTCCGTTCTTCTTAAAGTATGCCTCAAACTGATTTTTCCTCAGGAAGAATTCCCTGATCTAGATTTTCATATACATGATTGCTGTAATATTTCCTAGAACCATAACCCTAAATATTATTACCTCCCTGTGTATGTGTATGGGATCTGAAAGAATTTATTGACTAACTAAGCTCACCAAATAAAATCATGGTAAACAATATAGGCTTTTCATTGCAGTTCCATTAAAGTGCCTTCCTCTAGTCCTTGAGTCTGAGAGATTCCTCCCAAATCACCCTGATCCACCCTCTACTCAATCTGTCATCCCAAGTTCCAAATATCTCAGACAAATTCATACTCTAGGGTCATGATGGCGAACCTATGGCACGTGTGCCACAGGTGGCACACGGAGCCATGTCACCTGACACGCCAGCTCAGCCTCTCTAGTAGTCTCTGGAGGCTGGGGACAACAAAAAATGTCACTTCGTGTCCAACTGGAAGTTGGGAAACAGGCCGTTTTGGGCCTCCGAGGGGGTGGGGAAGGCTGTTTTTGCCCTCCCCAGATGCATAGAGAGGATCTGGAGCCAGGTGAGAAAGAAAAATGGGCCTACCGGGCCATTATGTGTCAGGAGCGAGGGGCGGGGACATGCATGCATGCGCAGGGCAAGGCGCATAGAATTATGGGTGTGGGCACGTGCACGCTCGCGAAACTCCGCCGCCCCCTTTCCTGGCACACGATGGCAAAAAGGTTAGCCATCATTGCTCTAGGGGAGTATGGCCACAGGTAACAGCTTCTATATATATTTCACAGAGTTCACAAATGCCATTAGTGTACAGCTAAAATGTCAAAGCTTTCCTTCCAAGGAATAAACAGAATTAGAATCAAGTCATGCCAACCAACTTGTTAGCAGAAGGAGGCAAGGAGTTTGCCTGAAGCTGCAAGCAGCCTTAGCCAACCAATATAGCATGTGAACTGGTAAAGTGTGTATGCAAACAGCTCCTCACATATTCATGCATTTGACAAGTGAGAGCAGTGCACGGAAGACAGGGCTGTGCTATTCTTTATTAATGAGGACACTTGTCCCATGATTAATACATAAAGGGGCATTAAGCATTGTTATGACCTTGAGCACTACACCCTATTATTTCTATACTATTTGCTCCTGGGGATGCAGCAAATTCTAATCCTATTACTGGTCCCATTAGGAAATTCAATTTATGAGTAACTGCCTGGGGGAAAAGGGACTCAGTGGGGTTTCGGGACTATCCAAATCTTAGTCCAGAATTGCCTTTTATTCTCGGACTTTGAAAGAGAAAATTAGCATATTTGTGTATAGAACTTAATTAATAAATTTTTAATTAATATACAATTAATGTCAGTGCCTAACATAATGCTTAAGAACAAAACCTCTATCTCAAACATTTGAATGAACTGAACATGCACTCATGTCATCAACTGAGGCAACCTCACAAGTGATGAACATAGCATATGTGAACCAGACTACTGAAAAGTCAATATCTTACTCAACTATAAAGACCAGAGCTAACTATACCTTATGCAGAATGAAGCAACAGGTACTGAAGAGAATGACGAAATAGGATGGACAACCTTAGTCCATGCTTTTCTGGATTTGTCTTACGTGCTCTCATCTAGAGTATTGTATCCAGGCAGTAGTCTTCAGTATCTTAACAAAATTAAAGTCAATGTAGAGAAAAGTAAGGCTTACATTTATGCAAGAACAACTAAATGCACAGGTTCAGTATAGGTGGTACCTCGCTCAGTCGGTGAGAGGGATATTGGAGTCTTAGTGGGCAAATCACTTAGATATGAATTAGCAGTGTGCTGTAATTGCCAAAAAAGCCAATGCAATCCTAGGCTGCTCTAATAGAGAGATGGAATCACACAAAGTGTTAATACCGCTTTATAAGGCCTTGGCAAGACCACGCTTGGCACACTGCATCCAGTTTTGACCACCATAATATAAAAAAGGTGTTGAGACTCTGGAAAGCGTACAGAGAAAAGCAACAAAGATAATTAGGGGGCTGGAGGCTAAAACACATGAAGAATTGTTGCAGGAATTGGATATAATTAGCAAAATGAAGGACTAGGGGCAACATGATAGCAGCATTCCAATATTTGAGAGGCTGCCACAAAGAAGAGGAGGTCAACCTATTTTCTAAATCAGCAGAAGGGAAGACAAGACAAGAAACAATAGATGGAAACTAATCAAGGAGAGATGTGAGGGGCACATAACATGGATTTTGTAACTTCATTTCTGTCTCTTACCTATTACTATCTCCTGTCATACTTCATTCTACCTTCCCCCCTTGAAAACGTCCTATGTTCAAAATTCCAAAGGAAATTCTAGCAATGTCCAATTTTGCCATTTAACCACTCACCAAGTCCAAACAATTACCCTGTGTAGAACCACCTACTGGATAGCATTGAGAATTGGTGCAATTCATGTCTTCAGTAAGAAATTACTTTTAGAGTTGACATCACTTCAAGGTCTTGATACCTGATACGAAGAATGTGATGCAATATGCTGAGCTGTCACTCTTACTTCTCCCTAAAACCAAATCAAGACAGCTTGCAGCTCAAGATCTGCATCTCATGCCTAGTTCAGGGACTTTTGCCAGATCTGGAGAAACACAAGAAGCATTTCAGGAATGAATATCAAAATAATGTAAATTTTATAATATAAAATAATTCCCTACTTGTTAGCAAGGATCATGGCTTAAAATTACTTGCTGGACAGGAGTAAGGATAATATGGTCAACATGTAATATAGTCAAATAAGCCCACATGTTAGCTCAATATATTTTAAAGATTGAGTGGCTCAGAAATGTTTAGGGGCAAACTGAAGATGGCAGAACTGACAGCCATGCACAAATTCAGAGGCAGGACAGTGTAGCAATGACAGCTGAATAATTCTCGTGATTTCATCATCCATACAGGTCATTACACTGTTCAGGTTGCAATGGCTAAATCCATTCCTGATTAGTTCTTTCTTCCTGAAATGACTTGTATTGTGCTTTCCATAATTAAGCATACACAACTATGTTCACTATAAACACCATTTTCAATTCATATTTAAATCTAATAACATTTTATGTAGAGGAAATAGTTAATATATTGACTTCTGGTGGGTTCCTCCAGACTATATGAACTACTAGATCTGGCCTGCAAAAATCTAGATCACCCCTAGATGACAACAAAGAGATACAGTAATCTCTAGCTCTTTGCTATCATCTGGTGATTGGGATTGTTCCAATTCAGATCTAGTAGCCCCCTGGTAGAAACCTTGTAGAAACCTTTATGGATATCTAAGGATAACAGGAAACTACTCCAGTGTTTCACTGTACTGCAAAACTTATTGCTTCTTCTCTTGATAATTATAAACAAAATAAATAATGCAAAGACGAAAAAGGTGATAAATTAAGCAAACTGGTTTGCTTTGCAAAATGATTATGAGACATATAATCTATTTTCTTGACCCAGAACATAAATATAGGATATATACATTCCTAGTGAAACACCATAATGCATTTTTTAAAGGCAGAACAATAAAACTGTAATTCAAATATCTCCTCTGCTTCAGAATCATACAGAGAATTCCTTTTACCTTTTAGCCTTTGCTGCATACCAGTAAATTGAAGACCAGAATGTCACCAACTAAGCAGCTTTATTGCATTATGACATTATATATTAAGATGGGCAAAAATTATAAATAAATAATAAATATAATAAATAAAAATTATAACTCTTTACACCACCAAATCATGAAGAAGAAGCAGTTTCACAAAATTGTCCCCATTACTGATTCTAGTGCAGTGTTTCTCAACCTTGGAAGCTTGAAGATGGGTGGACTTCAACTCCCAGATTCTGGGAGTTGAAGTCCACCGATCTTCCAGCTACCAAGGTTGAGAAACATTATTCTAGTGGCTCATATTTCCAAATTTAAAAAATAGGCAATAATTCATCAGGTGTTTAAGGGTACTGTGGAGTTCAACCCAGAATTCTCACTTGAGGCACAAATGCCAAGGCTCAAATTATTTCACTTTGGATCTATTATGCAAAGACTCAGCAATCTGGAGAAGGCTCTAATACTGAGAAGGGTGGAATGAAAGCAAAGAAGAAGACAGTCAGAAGGAAGGTGGGTGGGTAGATTTAAATGCAGTAGTGATCAGTGCACTATTGGAAGACATTAATGTTAGGAACAGATTGTCATGGAGAAAATTTGTCTATGAGGTTGCAACGGCACATAATCAATGTGATGTTGGAATAAAACCAGAAATAAATCATTTTCAACTCAGTTGTTCAGTCCCTAGTCATCTCACAGCTGATTATTGTAATGTGCTCTGCATGAGGCTACCCTTGAAGAGCGTTTGGAAGCTGCAGATGGTGCAGAGTGTGGCAGCATAGGCAGT